CATGAGTGAAAGTACATTGCAGCAAAAAAAGTCTATGACAGAATATAAAACTATATTTTAGGCATAGTTCACCCAAAAAAATAATAATTTGTCATTTACTTTTAAAACCTGTGTATATCTTAAAAAAGGGGGGAAATGTATTTTTATTACTGACAGAATATAAATTTTATTAAAATATAGGGATTGTTCGCCCCAAAAATTAATGTCCTGGCAGTTACTTTTTTCAAAAACCTGTTTGATTTACATTTAAAAAAATAAATAAATGAATATATATATATATATATATATATGTCTGTGTGTGTGTCAAAAAAACAAACAAACAGATATTAAAGGTGCAAGCAGCGATGAAAGGGACCTCATACCTGGGCCCACCTCTGCCTTAGGATGACAGAGCACAATGGACAATAATAATTTAAGCTGATAAATATAACCTGACTAAGTTAGCTATTTCTATCATTCATTCTTCTGTCAGCAAGTGGCGTTATCGCTGTGAATGAATATTAACATGTAGATGTCTTCAGTACAATACTATAATCAAAGGTATTGAATTTGGGGCAGACTGGACATTGGAAGTATAAGTTATAACAGCTTGTTTTTCCATAATTAAACACTGAGGTTTGTCAGGCTGCCACAGACACACGCCTTTGTATGAAAACTCTATATTTCGCTATATATCATCGCTGGAGCTTTTAAATAACACCACCTAAATTTGGTGCTGATATGATAACATTTGTAGGAGGAGTTTGTTATAGTGTAAAACATGTCATTTCCTTATGCCAATAGGTGGCGCTTTGACTGTAACTGGATATTGGCATGGCAATGTGTTCACATCAGGATAAAGGCTTAAAATCATTTGAGAATGATTAAACAGGAGGTACATTTCAATTACAATTTGTATTTGGGATTTTATATACTGTACAATTTTTTTTTATTATAAATGTTATTAACTCAGGTGTTGTTTTGTATATATTTTGCCCAAAATTGGGTTGAAATAATCCAGCATTTATTAGAGGATGTATCTCAATGCGATGTAACAGTAGCCATTTCATTTGATTACCAATTATTCCCCTGCCTTATGAGGATCAGTGGCTCAATACATGTAAAACTGAGATAATGTAATGTGGATAAACTTGGGTTGTTTATACAATTATCAGCCTCAGCGGAGAGGTGCGATGGTGTGTCAGAGCCTCCAGAATGTTTTCTAATGTCATGTTTTTGATGTTGTGATATGGCCACATGCCACTTTAGCTGCCATTTTCCTGTGCCATTAGCCTCGCGGTCCCCAGCCCTGACACAGTCATTTCAGCTGCTCTTAGAACAACACTGCAGATGATCAGAAAGACGGCTGGATTGAAAAAGGTGCAAATTGCAAGAACAGAGATGGGAGAAAAAGTAGAGAAATTGAGCGTAGCATCCTTGCAGAGGATTCTGGGTAATTGCTCTTTCAGGAGTCACACACATACACACACAAACTCGAGGGTGCCTTTTATCAAGTACGCTTGTGTTTTTGTGTGGCAGAACATTACATCCTATATAAAAACATGCGCAGCTTGGGATCTGTTCTACATCCTCTCTTGTGTGTGTGTGTGTGTGTGTGTGTGTGTGTGTGTGTGAGAGGCAGTGCATTTACTTTGATGAAATGACATTTTAACTCATATTTTCACTGTAATTGCTTGTGTTGAATGAATCACAGTGCATTTTAGTTGAACTTGCTTTTAAAAGGGTCTTTGTTTAACTGTCTGTTTATAATGGCAATTCAATCCATCTTTTCTTCTCTCTCTCGCTCTCCACCTCCCAGATCAAGTATTTCTTGATCTCTTGACATTATCTCTTTTTTTCTTTCCAAATAATTTGCTTCTGTTAATTTGGTTTAGTGTGGTTTAGTATCATACATATGAGGAAAAAGATTACAGTTGATACAAATGGAAATTAAATTTCATGCTTAGTGCCCAGTGCCATGGAAAACAAGTACGCTATAGAGAAATATACACATATATATATATATATATATATATATATATATATATATATATGTGTGTGTGTGTGTGTGTATGTATACATGGACACCAATACTGAGATAATTAATTTAAGATGATACTCTGATTAAGTATCAGTAATGTAAACAGTAATTTTTGATTACCTTCATTCTACTAAAGTCATAATTGAACTGAACCGAAATCAAATTAAAACATGTTGACTATGGTGATTTTAGCCACTTTATTGAAGTGCAGTACTGACATGTAAACATTTTAATTAAACTATTAATGTCATTTGCGCAATTAACGTCTGGATATTCCATACACACATGCCTGTATGACACTATTCTCTGCTCCTACCGAGTCAGTGAAGAAATACAGACACCTGCATCATAAAACGCAGAGGTTTTTTTTCCCATATGGCATGTGGTATCAAATTCATTTAAAACAACACTCTTCCAGCAGTTCATACTGGCATACAATATCTCAGTTGTCATGGGGGGCATGCATTAAATGTTCCTGAAGGAAAGTGAAAGCTCAGAGGGAATGTGGATAGCATGGTGATGCAATGACGTTAATCGTGCCATATTGTGTAAAACGGGATTATGAAAGAAACATTCAAATAGCAACTCATGTAAACACCTATTGTCTTATTTAGATTAAGGCAAATAATTCCATTACTGATGTCAATGTAAACATAATCAATTACTGCAAGTTTATATGTTAAATTGGCCTCATTGACAGTGCTTAACCTTCCCAGTGATGGGTTGCTGGAAGTGCATCCGCTGCGTAAAAAATGTGCTGGATAAGTTGGCGGTTCATTCCGCTGTGGCGACCCTGGATTTATAAAGGGACTAAGCCGAAAAGAAAATGAATGAATGGCAGTGCTTAACAAGGTGGTTTTGTGTTATTGACTTTTTGTTGTATTTCCTAATACTTTTTAAACTTTATATTGTTATTAAACTGATTACTTTGGTCCATAGCTGATAATTCTATATATAAAGAAGAAGAAAAAACTCTTTGAAATGTTTAAGTAAAGGAACGTAATTCTTAGAATCCAGAACCATGTTAACTATAGACCATCAGCACAGTCAGTTAGGTACAGTATCTAACCGCAGTACATTTAAAGGTCTCATGAAGTGCTTTGAAATATGCATTTTTATTCAAGGTTTGACGTCATCTGGAGAAAGGGTGAAACATAGTGTAGTACGAGTACTTTATGATTGTTTATGAGCATCAAAAGTGGTGATTAAAACAATATAACTAAAGAAATCTCAGCTGTGCTGAGGGACAGCGCTTCTCTACTGAACAGCGCATCATCGATGACGTGAGCATGCCCAGCCCTGAAAGTAATGTGAGTGCGGGCCGTCGGGGGAGACGGGAGGGGGGATAAGAGTGCTTTGGCCTGGTTCAAGGCAACTGTACATAGTGTGAGTATGCCCTTAGTGTTAAGATTTCTTTGATGACACATATACAGATTTTCGGTTTGATGTTTCATATTCAAACTCATCACTAAACTTTCATGTATAAAATGCTTGGTTACTTGGTAAAAGACTGGTATTTGAACTTTTTTAAAATATATATTTTATTCAGGCGAGGCAGTGGCGCAGTAGTGCTGTCACCTTAAAGCAAAAAGGTCGCTGGGTCGCTGGTTCGAACCTCGACTCAGTTGACGTTTCTGTGTGGAGTTTGCATGTTCTCCCTGCCTTCGCGTGGGTTTCCTCTGGGTGCTCCGGTTTTCCCCACAGTCCAAACACATGCGGTACAGGTGAATTGGGTAGGCTAAATTGTCTGTAGTGTAAGAGTGTGTGTGTGTGTGTGTGTGAATGTGTGAGTGGATGTTTCCTAGAGATGAGTTGTGGCTGGAAGGGCATCCGCTGCGTAAAAACTTGCTGGATAAGTTGGCGTTTCATTCCGCTGTGGCGACCCCAGATTTATAAAGGGACTAAGCCGACAAGAAAATGAATGAATGAATATTTTAAACAACTAGTTGAAGTAAGGGCGGCATGGTGGCTCAGTGGCTAGCACTGTCACCTCACAGCAAGGTCACTTGTTCGAGTACCAACTGGGTCAGTTGCCATTTCTGTGTGGAGTTTGCATGCTCACTCAGTGTTTGCGTGGGTTTCCTATGGGTGCTTCGGTTTCCCCTAGAGTCCAAAGACATGCGGTATAGGTCAATTGAATAAGCTACACTGGCCATAATGTATGAGTGTGAATGAATGAGTGTGTATGGCTGTTTCACAATACTCAGTTGCAGCTGGAAGGGCATCTGCTGCATAAAACATATGCTGGAATAATTGGCGGTTCGTTCTGCTGTGGCAACCTCTGAAATAGAAACTAAGCTGAAGTAAAATGAATTAATGAATTTGAATTAAACAAGCCTATCTTGTTACACTTCTTCATCTATCTTGCTTTTATTGTTAGGAAATAATTATTAACAAAGTACACTAAGGAACATGCTTTTAAAATAAAAGCGGTCAATAAACCACAAAAGCAGTGTGATCTACACACACACACACACACCATGCACATTCATTTCAAATTTCAGCGTGTCCCTATGGTGACCCTGAGCTGTAATAGTGAGATGTGACTGCTTCACGCTGCTTGAGCTCTCGTGTGTGCGCGTGTGTGTGTGATTTACCGTCGGGAAAATGACAGTGCTCTGTTCACCATGACAACGTCACACAGACACATCCCATCAAAGTGTCATAAATGTCCAGCGGACACAGACCATCATTAATCATCACAGAGAGTAAAGAGGGCAAAACAGAGAGAAAAGATGAAGTCCTGATCTAAAAAGAGCAGCGAGAGAAACAAGGAGACACTCACTAGACTGTTTCCCCCATTTTCACATAATTATGTGAAAGAGCTACTCCGTCTTTTCTTCAGATAAGTGTAATTGTGGCTAGTGATGGGGAAGAATCATAGCAAATGCCACAGCCATTACCAAACCCACAAAACAATCCGTTTTCTCCATCCACCTCTGCTTCACCTCTCTGTGTTTCTGTGTCTCTCAAACCGCAGGTCTCGCTCGGCTGTGATGAGGTACTGGTGAATGGCAATGAGAAGAGGGGGCGTGTCTCTCTTCAAGTGAACTTTACCTACCTCTATTTGACCAGCCAATTAGAGCTCACCGTCTGGGTGCCACGATTACCGCTCCAAATTGACGTCTCTGATGTGGAGCTCAACCAAGTCAAAGGATGGCGGGTGCCCATCATCACTAACAAGAGGTGTGTGTTATGTAACAAAGGTGTCTTTGTACTGTATACACTCAACAGCCCTTTTATTATGTACACATTACTCACACAGTGCCCTTTTGCCTTGAGAAATACCTAATACTATGTAGTATAAATTCAGCAAGATTCTAGAAGCATTCCTCTGAGATTTTAGTCTATATGATGGCATTAAGCAGATGCTGCAAATTTGTCGACTGCACACTCATTATGCAAATGTTCCATTCCACCACATCCCAAAGGTGCTCTGTTGGATTAAGATTTGGGTACTGTGGAGATCAACTCACTGTCATGTTCAGGAAACCAGTTTGGGATGAATTGAGTTTTGTGATATGGTGTGTTATCAAGCCAGGATTGACATAGTTAGCAACAGTGTTCCAGGAGGCTGTGGTGTTTAATAGTAGCCCCATTATGGATTTTAAAAACTTAGCATTCGCACAGTGTTTAACACCACAGCAAGCCTATTTTTTTGTTTTTTAAAAGATGTCTAATAGACGTCTAAACATAGTCATCTTAGCTAAAACAAGGCTAAATTTGGGTTGTCAAAGAAAATCGAATAGACGTGTAAGTATAGGCCAAAACTAGACTACTCGTCAAATAAACAGAAATGAATAACTACACATATAAAGTCTGTCTATTTGACGACTAGTCTAGGTTTGGGCAATTTTTAGATGTGTATTGGATGTTCAGACAGCCCAAGTTTAGCCTTGTTTTAGTAAAGCTGTCTACGTTTAGCTGTGTATTAGATGTCTATTAAACAAAAATGTGTTTGCTGTGACAGCCCTAAATGAATGATAACATCCAGCTGAGTTTTAAATCTGAAAATGTACTGTGTATAAAGTTAGCAATTCTCAAAAAGAAAGAGTTGACTAAGGTGTCGTTAACATGATTTGTTCTTCAAATTCACATTTAGGCATTTTGTCATGACTTCTGAGTGACAATACATTTTTTATCTTCCTAAAGATGAGGCTGTGAGGAATTAATGGTTAAAGTAAATTTCCACAACAATACCACTGTATAGCCCCAACCTTGAGCTATCTTCCTATCATTTTCTGATAACTACTACAGTGTGGGATTCGCCAGACGTTTGTTATTAAAGAAAGGATCATTACCAAGAACTGTAGATCAGGGGTGCCCAAACTCAGTCCTGGAGGGTCGGTGTCCTGCAAATTTTCGTTCCAAATTGCCTCAACACACTTGCAGGGATGTTCTAGAAAGCCTAGTAAGAGCTTGATTAGCTAGCCCAGGTGTGTCTGATAGGGTTGGAACTAAACTTTGCAGGATACCGGCCCTCCAGGATCGTGTTTGGGCACCCCTGATCTAGATATACATGGGGCTTTTGTCAGACCTTGACAATACACAGTTTATTTGGACCAGCTTCCTTTTCCTCTAAATCACAACCTGTATGTGTGATTGTTATAATTGACTTCATGTTATCTCTAACAGGAAAACAACATGTACTTGTTTGTTTGTTGTTAGCCACGTGCACCATGTACTGTAGGTTTCTGTTTAACTGACTAAAGCAGCTATTATACTGGACAGTGAGAGCATTGTGCTTTGAAACCCATTCATTTCAATGGCTTGAGCCGCATTAACCAGAGCACACACACACACAACAGAGCACAACTTTAAGCTTACTTGCAAGTCACAGTCAAACTTTGTAGTAGTTCAACTTTGCTGCTGCCCAAAAATGTGATGATTAATACTGAATGTTTGTCATTGTTATTACATGAAGTTGTGATCAAGAACAGGCCAATACCCTGGTGTACAAGCTGCATTTCTTTATCAATACATTCCTGCATTGAGCTCACACATACATACTCTATACCATGGCTGCTTGTTGCTTTAACAAAGTTTTGATAAGCCGTGTTGGGTGTCCGACACCCCCTGCACACAACAAAACAGACCAATTAGCACAGATTAGCATCAGAAAATGAAGGGGTGAAAATGTATTTGCTGAACAAATCGTATGGGGGTCATTGGTATAATTGGGCAAAAAATGCATAGTTTAAGACAATAAAAGTGTTTTGACCTTGCATGCATATCAGGGGACTCCTGAAACCACAATATAAACCTTTTGTAATCCATAATAGGGTTTTTTTAAATGATGTTGGTACTAAAGGGCTCAAAGCTTGTGAAGAAAATATCCCCACACCATTATACCACCAGCAACCTGAAACTGTAAAACAGGCAGAATAGATCCATGATGTCATGCTGTTTTTGGCAGACTCCTCAAACTATGCCATTTCTTTTCCCAGTCATCTCAATCTCTATATTTCAGTGAGCCTGAGTTAATTGTAGCCTCCGTTTTTCCAGTGTTTCCAGCTGACAGGAATGACATCAGTGTGCTCTTCTTCTGCTGCTATAGCTCATCTGCTTCAAGGTTTGATGTGTTCACAAATGCTTTTCTGCAGACCTTGGCTGTAACGAGTGGTTATTTGAGTCACTGCTGCCTTTCTCTCAGCTTGAAACAGTGTGGTCATTCTCCTGACCTGTGGCATCGAGGCTATTTTACCTTGAGCTCACTGGATGTTTTCTCATTTTTCAGGCTGTTCAGACCTTTCTTTCTTTTACTGCCACCAATAACTATGCCACATACAAAGTCACTTCAACTACCTGTCTTTCCCATTCTAATGTACAGTTTCAAACTTCAGCAGATCATATTGGCCACATCTACATCATGCCTAAATGCATCGGGCTGCTGCCTTGGAATTGGCTAATTAGATATTTGCAATCAAATGGTGTATTTAATAAAGTGGCCAATTAGTTAACGTGTGTGCGCAGATGTGAGGAGGCATGTTGTTTTTTTGTTTTTTTCCAGCCAGCATAGCAAAGATCATGTACCATCCCTTTCATTTTCATGCTATATGCTATGTGTGTGTGTGTGTGTGTGTGTGTGTGTGTGTGTGTGTGTGTGTGTGTGTGTGTGTGTGTGTGTGTGTGTGTGTGTGTGTGTCTGTGTCTGTGTGTCTGTGTCTTTTTTCACAGACCAATTCTGCTTGTTGGCCTTCAGTCTGTCTGCTGGGCCCATTTTTCAATTTGGCCAATTTCTGTCTCTCTGCCTGTAACAACAAAACCACTGTTACCACCAGGAACCACATGTACACACACACACACACACACACACACACACAGACTTAGACCCCACGCAATGCTTCCCCCCTAGGTGAACAGAAAATTTGAAGTAATCACCGTTTCAGAGAGAGAAATAAAATGGGGAAACAGAAAAGAGGCAAAGGAAAAGAAAACCAAACAGAAGAAGCAGGCACACATAACGCCCTATTCACACGGGGCTTCAGCGTCAACGCTTGACAGAGGGCGTGTCTGAAGTTGGAGCTGAAACGATCGTCATAGAAGCGTCAGCCAATGAAATTCAGTCAGCAATAGGCCACTGTCTGAGCTGTGTATTTGCATACAGCGATCTGATTGGCTGACGCTTCCGTCGGCGCTTGAAAAGTTGAGCTGGTCCCAACTTCTGCAGCGAGGAACGCTTCTGAAGCGGCGCCGACGGATCCACAATGCAGTTCGGCAACGCCTGACGTCACCCATTCAAAGTGAATGGGAAGCGTTGACGCTGACGCCCCGTGTGAATAGGACAAAAATTTTTTAAGAAAAGTCAAGGAAATGGAAAAGAAAAGGATCATTGCTGAAGAACAGGAATTATTTTTGTCAAAATACCAGCTTTACTGGAATTTGCCAGCCCAATTTATCTAAATGTAGGGATGACTGATGTAAAACTGACGTTTCGACACATTGTCGAGATCCCAAAGTGCAGGTGTGTTTACACTACACTGAAGCATGATCCAATACACCCAGGTCACATGACTAAGGTGATTCAAAGCATCGGTCATTTCAGAAGCGTTTGAAGACCTGGCAAATCTGTGCTTGACTGACAGGGTCTCATGTAGCCTAGTGAACCGTAACTGTGCTGCAAATGTCCCAAGTTCAAATAACGACTTCTACCAATACTCAGAAATTATGACGATGTATTTTAATAATGTTGCTGTTTTATTACCAAAACAAAACACATTTATTCATAAAGTGTTCATTCGGATGTTAGGCCAATGTTAAAACAAAAACATGTTACAAGAACAGAGCATTTAAAAACGAGTATCTATAGCTGCATCACCCTGGATTCGAACCCATTATCTCTGTATGCTAGACTGGAACTCTCACCGCATCACTAAATCACTTAAAACCTCAACTCTACAATGTGGGGTTTAATACCTCAAGTTGCTTAACTGTTTCTTTGCTGAAGCTGTTTCAGAGCAATACATGAAAAATAACAACTACAGTAGGTGTCACTGTAGAGACGGGTTTCGAAACGTTTCGAAGCTTCGACACATTTGGTTCGACAGTTTCAGTGTTTCACGAAGCCTCGCTTTGCCCACCATTAGCTGAATGTATTATAACTGCTTACTTCTCAGCCCAAATATATGATTTGAAGAAGTCAAGCAAAATGTGCTTTTTGTCATTATTTTTTTTTCTGTCATTTGCTTCCAAATTCCTAAAGGAGTTTGCAGGAGACAACTGATGGATTGATTTACTGATTGATTTAATGAGGGTTTCAGTTGACAAGGTAGAAATTAGATGTGAGAACAATGTGAGAACAATGTGAGAATGTGATGATTTATACTGCATTTCTTCTCGCAAAACTGGTGACACTTTTTTTTTGGAGCTTTCTTGGTTTGTTGTGCTAGTTGCACTGTATGCAGGATTTCTGCAGATATCATAATGTCAAAATTTTTAAGACCTTTTTAAGACCATCAACTATTAATTTTTAGACCTACGTCACAATATCAAAAATACGTAACACATAAAGAGAACACTCAAAAATCACAAAATTTGTGGCAAAAGAATTCTTAAGGTTGATTTATACTTTCGCCTGACACCATATCGCACATCTCCACTGACTGCACACTCACCTCAAATGGACGAGACTCTTTAAGACGATAGAGGGCGGTCAAAAGAAACCCACCCAATAGTTTTGAACTAACCATTTTTTTTTTATTTTTTTTAAATAATTTATTATAATGATTATATATATTTTTATAACCATTTAAATCAAATGTTGATGCATCAGTTGTTTTTGTTCATATCTCGGACAGTTTTACCTATTAAAGTTAAGTATTAATGACAACAGAATATTAATTGCTCTACAATTATATTTTTTATTATGGAAGGAATAAAAGTAAAAAAAAAAAACTTACAAAAAATACTGACCTTTTCAAAAAAAATTGTGCACTCTGCCAGCCAAAATCACGTCGCACGCACCCAAAGCGAACCTGCAAACAAATCGATGATGTCACAATCGCCATGCGCACTGAGATCAATAACAGAAAGCTGATTGGCTATTGCATGTTGGTCAAATTTGTAGTTGTAATACCGCAAATTACAATTGGACTAGTGAAAGAAAGATCTACAACACGACGAAAACCACAGCACAACAACAAAAAAGAATTTAAATGAGCATTAGATGTAGCGTTACATGGCTGCAACACACTTATGTCACGTTTTTTCCTGTTTTGCTAAAGTACTTAACGTCACACTTCACTGCTATTATATTTTCCAAACATGCAAATTTGATGACTTCTTTCTGTGTTGGCCAGGCCGACGCGGGACAGTGAGGATGATGAGGAGGATGAGAGGAAGGGCAAAGGCTGTGCCCTGCAGTATCAGTATGCTCTGGTGCGTGTTCTCACACACTTTGTAGCCGAGCCAGCTGACCCTGGCGGAGAGTATGTGCACATGCTTGGATCTGATTGGTCAGCTGACATCACAGACATGGTCCTGGACTTCCTGAAAGTGGAAAATACACGCATTGCCCGACTGATTGATGGAAGGATTTTGGCTGGAAGATCCCCAGGCAACACCAATATACAGGTAAATTATCTATTTATCTATGTTTTAATTGTTATGTGTGTGATGTAGGTTTTATTTTATTTAGTATTGATTGTGTTCATTACTTTGGGCAACGCTGTGTTGTAAAAAATGTGCTATATGTATGTGCTATATACATAGTTATAACTAACTAACTATACAAGTCATCCATTCATTCAACTTTTGTTTGATCGGTCATTCCATTCATCCACCTAAATTTTGCTCTGTCATTTCATCCATCATCCATCCAACTAACTTTTGTTCTGTCATTTCATTAATCCATCCATCCATCCATCCAACTTTTGTTTAATCTGTCATTTCATCAATCCATCTACCCATCCAACTTTTGTTCTGTCATTTCATCGATCCATCCGTCCATTCATCCATCCATCCATCCATCCATCCATCCATCCATCCATCCATCCATCCATCCATCCATCCATCCATCCATCCATCCATCCACCTTTTGTTCTATCTGTCATTTCATCTATCCATCCATCCAACTTTTGTTCTATCTATCATTTCATCAATCCATCCGTCCAACTATTGTTCTCTGTCATTTCATCAACCCATCCATCCATCCATCCATCCATCCATCCAACTTCTGTTCTATCTATCATTTCATCAATCCATCCATCCAACTATTGTTCTCTGTCATTTCATCAACCCATCCATCCATCCATCCATCCATCCATCCATCCATCCATCCATCCATTCATCCAACTTCTGTTCTATCTATCATTTCATCAATCCATCCATCCAACTATTGTTCTCTGTCCTTTCATCAACCCATCCATCCATACATACATCCATCCATACATCTATCCATCCATCCAACTTTTGTTCAATCTGTCATTTCATCAACCTATCCATCCATCCAACCAACTTTTGTTCTATTCGTCATTTCATCAATTCTTCCATCTATCAATCCATCCATCCAACTATTGTTCTCTGTCATTTCATCAACCCATCCATCCATCCATACATCAATCCATCCATCCATCCATCCATCCAACTTTTGTTCTATCTGTCATTTCATCAATCCATCCATCCGTCCATTCATCCATCCATCCATCCATCCAACTTTTGTTCTATCTGTCATCCATCCATCCATCCATCCATCCATTGAAGTTTTGTTCAGTCATCCATCCATCCATCCATCCAAGTTTTGTTGTCATCCATTCATCCATCCATCCATCCTTCCATCTATCCATCCATCTTTTTTCTCTTTTTTGTCGGTCTGTCTGTCTGTCTGTCTCAGTTATGTGAGCAGTCTTTTAAATAGTCTCTACTTTATTTAGAGTATTCACTGTTGACAAATAAAGAAAGAAGCTGAGAGATAGTAACACCTCCCTTGTCTCAACCAGCGGAAACATTCACCCCCGACTGTAAAGATGTTATTGCATGATGTGAGTGATAACAAGCTTGTTTGCCTACAGGTGTTAAAAATCTGAGCCCTGTTCAGTGCTCATTCCCAAATCAAGCGTTCTGCCGGAAACCAGCTTACTAACAGGCCCCTGTGTGTTTATGTTAATTTTCTCTGCATATGTGTGTTCATGTCTGACGGGTTGCATTTGCACTTTTATGTATTTCACATGTTAGTCTGAATGGGTTGTGGTTATATAAGACTTCACACGTGGTGTATTATGTTTTTACTTTTGCGTGGAAATCACAACGTTCCTTTTTCATGTTGTACATCTCCTTGTCATTCAGACTTTCGCCACCCCTTTGATTTCCTGCCATCTTTTTCTCAGCTTGGGAATCCTCATGGTGTCAGTCAGCAGTTTGAGTCCATGGCACTTCACAATGACACGTTGATTCCGGGACACCTTTGTACACCTGTCATACTGTCTGTCTGTCATAATAAAGCAATTGCGAATTGTCAGTTTGCATCTTTTGTAAAGATGAGAGATGTTATATAATAGAACCATGGGCAGAAAAGGAGTTTCAAATAGTTATTTAAATAATTTAAAACATTTAAAGAAAAATAGATTAATTTAACACCAGTGATTAGCACTTTTTTAACTGACGATGGTTATGGCAATTGTTATTTTAGTTTTGCAAAGGGCAATCTTGCGTGTCCAATTACTTTATTGTGTATTTCATAGGTTACTACAAATACACAGACACAAAACAATTACAAGATATGATCCATGAAAAAAATATTCTTCGTGGACATCCTGTCATTCTTGTTGGCCTTGCTAAAGAGATTACACTTTCACTACAGTTCAGGATTGCGAATGTAGTGATTGTGATGGGAGCAATCTCTCTCTCTCTCTTCTCTCTCTATTCAATAATTGCTTTATTGGCATTACAAATATTACAAATCTATTGTCAAAACAGTTATAAAGTTTACATAAAAAAAAAGAAAATGCATATATAATAAAAACACAGTAAACAGTAGTAATATATATATATATATATATATATATATATATATATATATATATATATATATATATATATATATATATATA